TAAAATATACCAAGCAAGAAAAACTTGTGTTTTGATGAGGGTGGACATTGGAGACCGGGCATGGTGCCCCAACAGGCTAGACTGGAAGTTGTGACTTTCAAAGAGATTCTCTCTTTTGAAGGAGCACAGGGTCAGTCTCCTTTCCATTGAGGTGTTCAGTCAATCAAGTCTTATTGACAATCTCCCATGCCCTGCTCTGTTGCCAAAGGTCGACAGAACAGAGGCAGCTTACTCTTTCAAGGGACTTAGGTCTAGGAGGAGGAGACTGATGAGTTAAGTGTGTGAATAATAACTCGTTAAGACCCTTAATCCTTCTGGAACGTGGGGATGGGCAAGGAGTCCTTCAGAAGAATTCAGACGAGGGTAGATTGCACCCCCGCAGCAAAGAAGAGTCACTGTGGGGATCCCCATAGCTCACTACCCACTAGGACGAAAGGGAACAACCCCTCAGTAAATTAAGGCTGGGAAAGGTTAGCCGAGAAGCTTAGGCGGCAGTGAATTTGTGTCAAAGACAGCAAAGCCGTTTGGAAAAGGCTATTGACAAAGTGGCCCAACTTAAAGGCTGAGCTGACGTGGGAGAACGAGAGTGAGCGCAAGAGCGAGGAAGTGAGGTGAAGCAGAGAAACAGAGGCCCAAATAAGTTCATTGTACGTTCTGATAATTGTCTTCCTGTCCCGCAAGACAACGGGTGTTTACTCCACTGCTTACAGATGGCAAGAGAACAATTCTAGAAGAAAAAGTTAGGAGGGAAAAGGAGGAAGTGGTATAACTTTGGAAACACCTGGGGACCCTCTCTTAAGATTCCAGTCCCTTTTTGAGGCTGACCACACTCCAGCGTGTCTGGAAGAAGTGGCTCCTCTCCATTCCAAAGGCACTGATTGATTGATTGATTGATTCTAGCCATTCACTTCCTCTGCTCCATCTCCAGAGCCCTCCTTTGGCGCTGTGTTTTCCATGCCCTTCGTTAAGCCCTAAACGTGTTGTAGCAACCTCCTTTTTCGATGATAGGCAGCTTTGTCACTTCCACCCCAGGAGACCTTTAGGGATTTTCTCCGAAGCTTGTTCATGCGAACCTCCCACAGACCAACGGCTTCTGGAGGGTCACAGCACGGGACAGTGTGGTTTCTTGACGTGAACCAACTTGTTCACTTGTGACATGTAATGCTTAGATTTTGAGAATAAGAAAAAGAAACTTGGGAGGATCCATTGTATACTTGTTAGTGCGGGTTTGCCCGTGTGTGTGTGTGTTAACGTGTGCGAGTGTATACACGAAAAAGCAAGAGATAGAGACTTTTTTTTCTCACTTTCAATTAGGCTCAGGGATACTGGGCCTTACTTGATAAGGTACTCCTTGACATATGGTGGTAATCAAGTGTGTGATAGTAGACTAGAGAGCTTAAACCGTTTGTGCCTGCTACATACTTGTGAGGTCCAGATCTAATTTGACCCTCCTGAGAAGAGGAAAAAGGGTATGGCCTTCTGGGGTCCTGGTAGCAGTGCTCTGTCCCCTCCTCAAAGAAGGGAGAGTGGAGGTGGCCAAACCACTGCCTCCCCCCCAAGCAAAAAACCCTTGTTTTGCTGATAAGTCCAAAATTCAGCCAGGAATACTCTCCAGAAGTCCAGACTTATAACTTGAATGGTCAACTTGTCCATCGATACTTGAGTTATATAATAGACAGGTGAACTGTCTCATGCTCCAAGCTGACCTCCTAACAAACCCCTCAAACTAGCTCCTCCTAGTGGCTCGCTTTCACAGCAAATAGCAATTGCATGCTTCCCATTGCTCAAGCCAGAGAATGTGGACTCACCCTTAACTTTTTGCCCACACCTTTACATTCAACGGCCTGACACGTAAGAGGAGCCTTTCAGCTGCAGTTCTCCTCTGAC